GGTTTTTGTTTATTAAAATTTCAAGCGAAGGAGGCGCCCAAGGGCCCCCAAGGTGGGGGGCCCAAAAAAAAAAAAAAAAAAAAAAAAAAAAACTGTCTACGCAGTAACATTCGCTCACTTCTAGTCATTCAGCAGGCAGTAAAAGACTACCAATGCCACAGATAAATAGAAAGGGGCCAGAATTGTGCATCCCAAGGTCAGATCCATTTTTCTCTCCTGAGAGCTTTTGCTCTTTTTTTTTTGTCCCCTTGCTTTTATAATGATTAGCAGCACTGCACAGACGCACTGTTGCCGTAGACTTCCTTTAGTCTAGTGCCTCCAAGATGCTTTTCAATGTCGCTAATTCCGTTTTTTTTTTCTCCCTGCCTAAACCAACGGCATTATTATTTTCTCTTCTTTAGTATCTATCCAGAAATGGAATAAGTGGCATCACGCGTGATAATTTTAGCTTCAGTGCAAAGATAAGGGTTGGTGACTTCTATGAAGCCAGAGAAGGACTCCAGGTGACTGCCTTTCATCTCTCTCTCTCTCTCTCTGTCCCTGATCCCTGTTCATCTTTTCATCCAGCTGCCGTCAAAGCTTCGTGCAGCAGTCACTGTCACTGATAGGAATCAGCCTAAACCCTCAGTAGTCCAGGTTCATAGGCTTCTCACTGTGCATGAAGAATGTAATAATCAGTTGACATTACTTCCACAGGTGACCAGTGATATGTTACAGTTCTGTGAAAAAGTCTTCATCCACTCCTCTTTCTTTTTTTCTTTTCTTTTTTTTTTTTATTTTGTACTATATGATCCAGACTTTCTTCTAATTGTTTAAAACCCTCTGAATGATTGGCTTCATTTGAGTCTTTTCCTTTAAACTTAAATTTTAAAATAACCTTTCTGCTATTAGTCAGTAGTTATTTTGTTTTAGGAGCAGAGGAGTTGTCACACCATGCGCTACAAGCAGATGCTTTAAAACAGGGTGTTATTAACATTTTATATTTGCAATTAGCATTGTTCCCAGTAGACTGCCAGCACGTTCCATCCTAGACAGAAGTTGAATGCTTAAAAGGATACAACAGCGCAACTTTACCATAACCCATTTAGCCTTCTTGTCTGCTGGCTGACTTGCCTTGCAGCTGGAATAAACCACAGACATGTTGAGGAAAACATAGATTACATTTAAACAGCTTCTTATATTTCAACACCTCACTGATAATGAAAATGGTTGAATTTTTCTTGCCTCTAGCAGTGTCTACACCAAACAGTGTTTGTTGTCAGTTTAGCCTTACATATGTTGTTCTTACTGATCAGATAAAAATCTATTTTTACAATTTTGATAAGCTGATCACTGGTCAGGGCCAGTTGAGGTTATAATCTTCCAGAGACTCCTGTCACTCTATGATATTTCTTGGTGCACTCCTATTCATTTTCAGTTCAATCCGAATACTTGGCTAATTTAAAAAAAGTTGTTAAATTCTTTAGTCCCTTACCACTGCTATATAAATCACTCACACACAGCAAAACACCTAAGCTGTAGGGAATGATACCTAATAAATATTCTACACTGTTGAATTTATTCATACCCCTTTCAACACATTTTCATGTTATATTAGCCACAAATCTTAGTGTATTTTATTTGGTTCTTGCATAACAAACCAGCACAAAGTAGCACACGGGCTGAACACAAACCCGTGCTACATTTTGTCAGACTTTCATTAGTCGAAGATTGTGAAAGCCATTTATCTTTTTTTTTTTCTCTTTCACTTCACACTTATATGCTAACCTTTTGTTGGTCTGTCACATAAAATCCCAACATGTTACACCAAGGTTTGTGGTTATAAAGCTACAAAATGTTACAAAGTTAAACAGGTAGGAAAATTTTCCTAAGAGAAACTGTATATGCACAAAACTATATGTTTTGTGCATATACAGTTCCATTGTAGCTGTATAGTAGCTGCATTGTAGCTGTATAGTATATCCACACAGGTCACACTATACCTAACCAGGTTTTGGTTTAAAGTAATCTTTAATTTTTACTGTTAACTATTTGGAGACTTGAATTTTTGGAGGGAGCAAAACATTAGAGCGATGGTATGAGAGCCTTGCTGTAATATCAATAAAGATATTGATATTACTTGCAATTTTTAAATTGAAATCTAAATTAAAAACCAAATAAAAGATGTGGGATATGTTAATTATTGTGACATGGATACATATTTTACAGTGTTTAATTATCCATTTCTTATTTCTATCGGTAACAATTGTCTTGGTTGTATAAAAAATATTTTTCATTTATTTCTACCTGGAGTATAAATAATTTTGGGCTTGAATTGTTTTTATGAAAACTAAGTAAAAGAGCAGCTATTGTTCAAAGGTCTTTAAAAGCCTTGCAGAAAGCTTGTACAATGATTGATCAACGCTACTTGAGTAAAGCATAAAAAAGTCTTGCTTCTTGGATTCATAATTCAAAGAAAGAAGGTGTGGGTAAAGACTTTGTGCGCAGTACTCTGTGTCTATGATGTAATGAGTGAAACAAGAAAGTAGGTGTGTGTGTGTCATTTGAAGCATAAATTAAAAAAAGGATTTACTTAGTACATTCCTGAAGGAAAGGGAAACAGAAGGGATCAAATGTAATAGTTTTTTTCTTTTTACATTATAAGTATATTATAATATTTTCATATATATACAAAAGCAACAGCTAGTCCTTAGTAATATAACAGTTTTCTTTGTTAAACAAAGTTAAATACTAAAAGAATGGATTTATCTGCTTAAGCTCACTTTGTCCTCCCCATTGTTTGTTTTTCCAGGGTTTGCAGTGGAGCCTGTTGAAGGAAGAAGAGGTCGTTCCTCGAATTTTGGCCATGGAGGGTCGCAGGGGTCGTCCTCCGAACTCAGAACGGCAGCTAGCAGGAGATGTTACCAAAGCTGGTCGACGGAGGAAAGGACGCCCCCCCAACGTGGGCGATCAGCTCGTAACAGAAGGGCCCAGCCCCAGTGAGGTCAAACTTCTGCGCAAGCTGGAAGCTCAAGGTGAGAACAGGAAATGAGCCCTGATGTTGATGGAGAAGTTTCTCTATCTGTATCAGCAGCATTTTTATTTTATTTTTTAATAGATATTAGTTAGTTTTCAAAGGATGTGGATAAGAGTTGGAATCCTGCTCATGCTTTGTTCCATTGAAGAAAAAGAAAAGTACCTTTTTGAAAAAACAACCTACTTCTACTTTAATTACCGAATTAAACATACCTTTTATTAACCCCACATTTTTGTATGAAAATAGTTTTTTATAAGTCTGAGGTTACATTCTGATCTTAAATGTTGTATTTTCAT